ATAAAACAGCCCATATAACTCACAATAACAGAGTTTCCTGGTTTATTTTCTTAGAAAGATTAACTCACAATAAATCTCACAATACTTGATGAAATGTGGCATTACTATCCCCGCCAAAATTCAAGGGTTTGAGTTATAGGGAGTCAACTGTAATTCTCTTCCAAGACCGTCTCGGGAGCTTTATCAAACAGTCAGCAAGGTTTATTTAACCTACAGCATTTCAAGAACGGACCTGGCTGGGAGCCAGGGAACATTGGAAGTCGAGATTTGACTCGCTTCCCGGAAATGGCACCATAATTATTAGTTTGCACCCACATACATCTGGGTGCTTTCCCTTTTGAAATATAGATCATTCATGCGTGTCACAAAAAATTGAAACAAACAGAATAAACTTGCATAAAATGCCACTAAAGTGTGTCGAATGGCAGGAAACGTGTAACATGAGTGGAACTTCTAAAAACAAGATGTGTTGTGAAAATTCAATGTCGCATAATGGAACTCCAAAGTTGGATTGTGGAACTTCAATGCTGAATCGCGGACAACAAAAATAAAAATAATGGGAAATGAATATGAAAAGCAAACATCGAATTTTGGAGGGGATATAACACCATAATGAAAACCCTACAAGGAAAACTCACTCTTTTTTCTTCTCTCGTCCAGTTCTAGCTTACTTGCACATGTTCATTACCTTATTTGATAGTCCTAGCCCTAATTTGGTAGTGCTACTAAACGTCACAAAACTGTGAGGGGCTAAGATCAGTAAATCTCTCATACAACAATAATAATTGCTGGAAGTGCTCAGTTTAAAATTAATGTAGATGAATGTGCACAGTTCATATTATACCTGATTAGAATGATGGTAATAATATTTTCTTCTTTTGAGAGCATCAAATGCCTTCAAAGTCGATTTAAATAAAAAAATGTTTATTTAAAGTTCAATACTTACTGTGCCACTTCATTGAGTTTTCCTGGTGTCTTGCTAATAAACTCAATCTGAAGAAGGAGGGGTTAAAATATAGTTATAGTCATTCCAACAAAATCAGCCTTGCAATAGTCAATAAGTACATGTACATTCAAATTACTTTAAAAAAGATTATGGATCAATGTGTTCCTGGTTCTTTATTCTGTTTATGTTACACAATATTATTATTTTTATCCTGGGGCAGGGCCATCCCTCCCTTTAACCCTCTCTAGGTGAGTTTTTAGTTAAAAAAGGTAAGGCATAATATCATTATATCACTTTGCATAACTTAACGGGCCTGTGAGTGTAACGTCATTGATGGATAATGTATTATTTGGAAGCAAAGCCGATTGTCTAGCAGTTTCCAGAAAGTAACTGCTGTGCTTTGTTGCACCTGGGAGCTACTACATGTAAGTTAACAAAGAATGAAACAGCCTCATGTATGAGACAGTGTAATTTTTGTTTACCTTAACACCTTGCTTTGCACCAGGTCTGACAATACCCCCAGATGGCATAATTGTGATGGGTTCATTTCCAGTATATCTTATCTTAAACTCTCCGGGCAATGATCCTTCATTTAAGACAAAAATTTCCTGCCTTAATACTTTCCCATCTGCTACTGTCACACCAAAATCTGCAGGACCACTCAGTTCTAACTGAGGTGATGGGGTGTATCTAACGACAAAGAGGAAAAGAAAATATCGCACATTATTTTTTTTGTTTTTCACGCTTTCCTGCACTTTCATCAACATGCAAGTTCTGAAGTTCAAAAGTCAACTGACGTTTGCACTTGTCACTGCCATCAATCATCTCAGCGCCCGTCTTGGGAAACAGAAGTTCACTTCAATGGGTTCAAAAGGTCATGGTTTCTGATTTGTGATTAGTGAATTTTGATCTGTTTTGTGTGTTTCTGTGTTTCAAGGTTCATTAAGNGGGTTAAAATATAGTTATAGTCATTCCAACAAAATCAGCCTTGCAATAGTCAATAAGTACATGTACATTCAAATTACTTTAAAAAAGATTATGGATCAATGTGTTCCTGGTTCTTTATTCTGTTTATGTTACACAATATTATTATTTTTATCCTGGGGCAGGGCCATCCCTCCCTTTAACCCTCTCTAGGTGAGTTTTTAGTTAAAAAAGGTAAGGCATAATATCATTATATCACTTTGCATAACTTAACGGGCCTGTGAGTGTAACGTCATTGATGGATAATGTATTATTTGGAAGCAAAGCCGATTGTCTAGCAGTTTCCAGAAAGTAACTGCTGTGCTTTGTTGCACCTGGGAGCTACTACATGTAAGTTAACAAAGAATGAAACAGCCTCATGTATGAGACAGTGTAATTTTTGTTTACCTTAACACCTTGCTTTGCACCAGGTCTGACAATACCCCCAGATGGCATAATTGTGATGGGTTCATTTCCAGTATATCTTATCTTAAACTCTCCGGGCAATGATCCTTCATTTAAGACAAAAATTTCCTGCCTTAATACTTTCCCATCTGCTACTGTCACACCAAAATCTGCAGGACCACTCAGTTCTAACTGAGGTGATGGGGTGTATCTAACGACAAAGAGGAAAAGAAAATATCGCACATTATTTTTTTTGTTTTTCACGCTTTCCTGCACTTTCATCAACATGCAAGTTCTGAAGTTCAAAAGTCAACTGACGTTTGCACTTGTCACTGCCATCAATCATCTCAGCGCCCGTCTTGGGAAACAGAAGTTCACTTCAATGGGTTCAAAAGGTCATGGTTTCTGATTTGTGATTAGTGAATTTTGATCTGTTTTGTGTGTTTCTGTGTTTCAAGGTTCATTAAGTTGTGATCATAATTATGATTGACAGCAGTGAAAAACCTAATTATTGTGAAGGCAGCTTTTGAACTTCAGAGTTTGCCTGTTTTTGAAAAGTGCAGTGATGCTGAACAACAGGGCTGCCAGGGGCTGGGTATTTCCTTCAGCTACTTTAAGCTTAACCCCCGCCTACTTTCATAGGAAACAAAGGAACTTCCACACTAATCAATTGCAAACATTAAGGAACTTGAAATCTTTGTGAGTACAGCTCTAGCTCGCTTAAAGAAGTTTTATATTCTTTCAGATATTAGAGGAAACAAAGGTATTAAACTTGTTGTTGAAATTTCCTGGACCATGGATAACACTACACTTGTACATGTATCTGTTGTAGTTATTTTTTTTATCTCAGCTCATTTTTGTTTTTCTTTTGTTTTGGGTTATGGTACTGTACATGTATACTAATGAAGTTGAAACATAGGAAAAATAAAAATTACCTGAGATAAAAAATGAACTACATATCAACTGGATCAATTTCTGTCCAGCGCAGAACACAATGGTTAACACTTATCCCCTGGATAGTAAATAATTAGGGCTAGGAGACAAAGGAAATTGAGAATCAACCTAGTTTAAGAACTTTTTAACCCAAATTTAATTTTGACCTTTAACATATATATGTTGCAGATAATTTTTTTTTCTATTTTTCCATTGTTTTTGGGTATGATAATGTATGCTAATGAATTTGGGACAAAGGAAAAACAAAATGTATGCTAATGAAATTGAGAGAAAGGAAAACAAAAATTAACTAAAATAAAACATTAACTCCAACATACATGTACATACATGTATAGTTTGTTATCATTGCCACTTTTTTGGTATATTTTTACAGAAAACACAGTGGAACCAAAGACACCTGTTCTGAAAACCAAGCTAATATTAGGCCACCATTCATCTCAGCAAATTATTACTATAATATGATAGGTGACGAATTACTCCTTAATTTTGGCCCGAAATTTCAGCGTTAATTTGTAATTTCACATGTGAAATTACAAAATTGCCGTAGCAACCTTCTGTACGTCTCAGTGTCAAGATGGCGATGAAGTGAATGAAGATGTCAGGGCACAAAAAGACGCTTTAGAAAACCTGAACACACGAAAGAGCACATCAAATAGAATTATAACAGGTATTTTGTCGAAAAACTCTGAACTTAAGCCAAATTTAAGCTCTAAACGTTTGAGAGAGTGCAGGAGTTCTTGATTGATACGATCCAGGATAAACATGCTAAAAATCCAAGATTGCTAACGTAATTCTTCACCTATGATGTTAATAGGTAATCAAATGGTATACTCGTGAAATTTGGGAATAATTTCACTTGTCTTTTGTCCAAATCCTAATAATTTCCCTTGCCTAAAGGTTCGGGAAATTATAAGGATTTGGACAAAACGCTCATGAAATTATTCCCTAATTTTACTCGTCACCATTTGATTACACATGCTTAGAGTGAGGAAAGAAATATCAGCTCAGTAAATTGTGCAGCATAAATTAACCCTGGACTCTTGTGTGTGTCAGATACCAAGAGATAACGAGAGAAAGCACAAGTTACTTACGCCATTAGAGGAATCTCCACAACATCATTGTCGGCAACAAGTATAACTCTATCTTGAGCATTTTCAGCCCTTGTGGTGTAATATTCAACTAATGCAGACACTTCTAACCCTGGGGCTATAGCATGGTCAGGATTTTTCACTTTTAAGCGGAAACACTAGAAAAAAAGGCAGAAAAATTAAAATTCATCTGGCTAAATAATAATTTAAAGTAGACAGACTGCAAATTATAGTAGTCGCTAAAAAATATATCTACGTGTCCCAACTGTTCATCAGTAGGATGCCTAAAATGCGTGCAATTCCACAATTGGTTTCGGCTCCATTAATAATAATATTTAACATAATATTTGTAATGTATTCTGACAAATTTAAACAATTACAGCAAAACCTTAAGTTTAATATCAGACCCAACATGTACAGTGGGTGGTGGAAAATAACACCAAGCTGGCACAACCTCAAGTACATACAACCCTTGAAAATTTATTTTAATTTTCTTCCAATATAAATTTATGAAAGACAAACCTCTATTTAGTGGAAAAAATCGTCTGTGAGGATACAGCTACGAAAACATTGAGGGTTAGCTTAGTACAAGTATCGACGTGCATTTAAGTTACTTACAATCACGTATAAAATAACACTCAGCGTAAGACTTAATTAAGCCTATAAACATTCTGCAAATTCTGTTCTTACGATTTTATTATTAAACCTCAATTGCTATGCAATAAAAAAACGAATATTTTGTTTTATTAAGTATCTGTCGACTAGAAGTAAATCAGGTGGTAGTGAAAGGCTCTACAGCTAAATTTCTGCACAACCCAGCTGGCCTCATAGATCAAGGTGACCCAAAAATACAATCTGCAAAAATGCTGTTTACGTCTACTTTATTAACTGATAAAGCAGAATTCTGCATCACATCAGCTTATTTATACACAAGTTATTCTACCATATAGGACCTATCCATAACTCCTTTAAAACTAAGGTAACAAAGGGTACTTACTTTCGAAGCAGGACCATGAAATCGGATGACTTTGGAAGACTTGCTAAGGTTCTGTACAGTTAGTGTCATTTGATGCACAACATCTGTTTCAGCATCGAAAAATTCCACTACGGGTGGAACAATTCTTACTCCTGCTACAGTCCCCTCCATATCTAATCTCTTAAGAAAAATTTGATTTTGTTTTTTGGGTTTTTTAGCCTTTACAACTGCTGAATTCTCGGAAGAAACAAGCCTAATGATGAATCCGCCATCTTTGATTTACGCTTCGGTCTGCGTTGCATGGAAACAAGCGGGAAAGTGATGAAAATATAAAGCGAGTTCTAATTGGTTTATTCGTAGATACAGAAATTAGACCAATCAAGAGCTCCGTAATATGTTCGAACCCACAATACCTTTTAAAACGCTTTTCACAAAATGGCGGAAAATACAAACCGAGCAAAATGTGCCCAAATGTGGAAAGAAATTTATCTCTTCAAATTTAAGAAGAATGTTTCTGTATCAGTACATGCTAGAGAGCAGGTTGTCAAGATGAACAAGATGTTGTTCTTTATCCTTTTCTCTCAATCAGCTGTTTTACGTCCAAGTCGATTACTCTTACTTAGTACTCGATTATTGTTCTGTCAGGGAGTTTCGTCTCTTCGATCGAACGCATGTTTATCATTTGCAATTTTGATTTGTTTTAACTTTTTGTGCTCTATTTTTAGTTTCTTAGTAACATCAAGGACTTGTGGAGTTGGCAGTACTTTCGTTACGCGTTATATACACGCGCCGTGAAACAAACGACCACACGACTCCAGGTTAATACCACAAAACGGAAGTTTCGCTTCAGTAAAATGGATGCGAAAAGGAAAAATATATATATATTGTTAAGAGAGCCAGCTGGTGTGACACAAAACTGAAGCGGAAGCTGAGAAGAAAACCATTTTAAGACAATGGCTGTCACTCAACGCCATGTCCACGTGGTCAAGAGTATTGTCAACAACCACCTGTTGATACGTGTGATCGTTGAATATTTATGGCCAGCGAAGCGTTGAATGGGTCTCGAATGAATGAACTTTACAAACCAAAACAAGACGCCTTGATGGTCATGTCTTTGGGATCCTCAGGTAAGCCAATGGACATTTCTTCTACGGTGCCAGTTATTTTTTTCGGTTCGTGATATTTTCGCTCTTCCCTTAATTCACAGAATACAATTTTCTTGAAACAAAGAATCTTACTGACAGTTAAAATCCTTTCTTCTCTGCTCGTATTTTATGACTCCCATATTCGAATGAGCGTCATTCAATTTAATTTTCTTTCTAGTATATTGCACTTTGGCTTAAAAGGACTTTTTTTCTTGAAATCGTGGAAATTTCTTTTGAAGCCACAAATAGGGAGAAATATATCATGGACGCCCAGCGTTTAATAAAACCAGCGCTTGGGCTTTTCCAACTGGGGAAAGTTACACCGTGAAATTGTAAAGGAAGAAAACTGTAATAGAAGTTGTTTTCTGCTGAGAATATTATTCAAGACATTTACGATATTTGCCAATCATGAAAATAACCGACATTTTAAAGGGTAATATGTAAATCTGTAAATAATGATGTAAGTCTGTTTGTGACTCTACACATGAACTTGGTTTTTAACTAATAGTATACAAGGAATATTCTGTATTTTTAGTGTAATATATCCTAATCCACTGTGCGAGAAAAAGCTTTGCTTTTCAGAAAATATTTTCTCCGTGCTAGGTAAAACGAAATTGACATTTAATTAATATATTTTTCGGTTTTGATCACGTTGTCGTTTAGCTTGTGGCTAGTTTCGATTGATCGTTTCGATCCACCGTATCTTTTTTTAGTTTCTGTCGGTTTGTGTGACTCTAGCGTATAGTGTCACGCATTGAAATTCTTCGGAATATTTGTCTTGTTTTCTTTACCACACACCAATAGCGAGTTTTAGAAGCTGTGGTTTTATCGCTTGTCAAATCTGAGTTAGTTCTTAAATGTGGTTCGCCATCGATTGTATGTACCCCGTGCAGGTGTGTAGGAACGTTTAGAAAAATTGTGGGAAAATACGTTTCATTCATTGCCAAAAAGATGTTGACTCCTCGGGCGAGGAATTGTTGTACACATTAATGTGAAGGTTTGTGGATTAAGCCCATTTTTAAACTTTGTTTACTTCAATCAGTTTTGTTAGCTTTAAACCCTCCTACTGTACAGACCTTAGCTACGAAATCTATTTTGACAAACATGCAAATTTAGCAACAATATTGTTAAGTGTTTCAAAATAAAAGATGATCCTACAAAAACCACGAAAAAATTTAAATCTGCGTAAGTTTTAACCCACTTGAATTTAAGGATACGATTTTCCCGAACCTTAACCAAATACTCAACAAATCTCCACTACTCTCGTCAAACGAATAATTAGTTTTTCTTTGTTCAAAATAAGATTTGCCAGGTTACACTTCAACTCGCTTTTTAGCGGTGTGAGTAATGACGTAATCGCTTTAATCCATAAATTGGAGGGCATAAAATGCATTTAAAAAGGATTTTTTTGGTTATTCTGAAGGCCATGAGTTACAAATCTTTTGGTTTATTAATTTTTTTTTCTTCCCAACCCCACCTGTTGAATGTTTCAATGTTGCAAAATTACAATCATTTGTTGGAAAATGTCACTCTGAGATTAAAATGTATGTATTTGTTAGATTTATTTTTGGTTTCTTATCCTGGGAATCTTACCCCAACAGATGAAACACTTCTGAGTAATTTAGGCTAATTTATTATAGCTCGTACACACTATATAAATAATTACTGGATACCCAATATGTAAAAAGAAAGAGAAAACAAGATTTATGTAAATTCATATGAGTTGACAGCTTGGAAACTTTCACTCTTCTTAATTTGCTCACAGTTTCTGTATCTTCTCAGTTCAACTTTACTTATAACAGAAAATGGAACAAGATTGGATACAATAATATTACATTGAAGCAAGTAAAAACCTAGTTCTTAAAAACTTGTTTGGCTTAAGTTTGCCAGTGCTATTTATATATACGAGAACCTGTTAAGCCGGAAATATTAAACAGGTTCTCATTTTCTTGAATCAATTACGTCTATGTCATGTTCTGATGAAGAACTTCAAAATTCATGTGATCACTGCTTCAATTTTTCTTGTTATAGTCCTTTTTGTTTTTAAATACTCATGTGGTATGCTGACTTTATATAGTGAATAGACTGAATACCACTCATTTTTATTGTATATTGAATCTAATTTTTTCTCCAAAAGATGTACACTGCTCTTGCTATAGGTGTTCATTTTTGCTGCATGCAACTTGGGAAACTGCAGCTTGTTACTTTTTTTTTTTATTGTAGCCAAGTCTTGTTTCAGTACATTACCTATGGGTTTCTTGATGCAACAGGTGAATTTAAATTCTGTTCTCTCATTGTGGTTAATGCCAAACAGCACCTGTCAGTCTAGAAAAGTTGCAAATTATGTGACATTAAAATCGTGGTGATAAATATGATAAAGCACTAGATGTACGAATGAGCAAAGATAACAATGGTAATGTAAGATTTTTCACATTAGTCTTTCCCTTACATTAAGACTTCTTATGAGTAGAGTTCTGCCAAGGCTGTGATCATACTAATCATCCCCCTTGTTGCTTCTCTTTTTGCTTTAAGGTTGAACTAAATGTT